CCCCAAAACCCCAAAACCCCAACAGTCGGATATATGAATTATTGTGTGTATGTGATTTGGTAAATTAACCAAATTTATTTATCTATTAGAAACATTACAAAACAAATATAGTGCTCATTTTGAGTCTCCTTTTTTGGAATCATCGTTATTTTAATTTCCATCAGAGGTAGCAGCATCGCCATTTCCAATATCTCCTCTTTTTAATGCTTCTTCAACCTTTTTCCTAGATTCCTCTTCCTTCTTTTTTCTGAGCTCATCTTCCCTATCTTTCTCGATCTTGAGGTTCTGTACTTCAATTTCCTTGGATTGGATTTTATTATTGATGAGATTGTGCAAAGAGATAACACTTCTTATAAGTGAACTGACATAGATTACATTCATGTAGTCATTTGTTTTAACTGAAAAACTGCGAACTGTTTCATCTACTTTTAAGTTGGGCAACAGATTGAAAATGTCCTAAAGTGAAAATTAATAAAGCTGAATTGTACCTGGAAGTTGTGGATGATTGAATGATTGTATCTGAATTTACCACTCAACACATTCTGCAAATACTCTCTCATTTCTTTCAGCTTTTGAGTCAGTGCTTTCAGTGCAAGAATCTTATCTCCAACTTGTTTGCTTAATTAGCCTTGACTTGCATCCTTGATATCTCTGAGTAAGTGCTCGACTCCGACTTCTTCAGCCTCAGAAGCGCCAATAGCGCTTTGAATATGCACGAACTGCCTCATTAAATTGCCGTTATCATCAACCTCTTCCTGAGTGAAGTAAGCTTCAGTGGGAATACCGAGTGAAGCAGCCTCATGAAGCTTGACAACCACGAATATGGGAGTGGTATTATACTTTCTGATGATTTCATTTATTTCAATATCTGCTTTCTTGATGGAGGGGCCAGTGGAGTACCACCCGATGATCCTCTCCTTTGAGTTGATCTTTCTCATCATGTTGTACATGGTCTCGTGATAGATGTGATCAAAGAACCAGACATTAGGCTCCTGCAATTCCTCATCGAAGGGAACTGCATAGCAATTAGTCACATCTAAAACTCCCTTATCTCCGTACTCTCCAAGCAACACTCCCACCACTCTCTTCTTTGTGTCCTTAGCACTTCTATTGTAATGATCTACTACAGACAACAGCACTGTTGGGTGAACTACGACGTTTTTAGGCACTCCTGCGCGCACTTGCTCAATCAAACCATCAACCATTTTTTAAACTTTAGATTATTTCAAAAACTAATTAATTTGTTAAATTTAACTCTATCGGGGTTTTGGGGTTTTGGGGTTTTGGGGTTTTGGGGTTCCATAAAAAAATAATATTTAT